GTTTGAAATTTAAATTCCACTAAAAGGGGTTTAGTAAATACTTTGGGTTTTCCATTGAGACCCAAAAAGGACCACAATAAGGAGGAAGGACAGCATCCTAGACCTAAGGGCCATACTTTAGTTAGGACTATGGGCAAAACGATAAACTCACTGTAACAAAGCTTAAACTCAAACTTTCACAGCATCAAGATTATCTACTATAATTTAACAGCTAGCCAGAAGAAAACACACTTTTTAGAAGAAAACAGAATCCAGAGTTTTCACAACACATCCATACCAGTACACAATAAAAAAATTACTAAACATACAATGAAAAATGATATCCATAAACAATAGAAAATATGTAGAAGTAAATACAGAGATGACTCACAGGTTGGAATTAACAAAATTATTTTAAAACTTATTAAAGAATTAATAGGAAAAAAAGATGAATGAACAGATTAGGAGTTTTGGTGAAGAGATAGATACTAAAAACCAAATGGAAAGTCTGGTAATGAAAAAAATCTGAAATGAAACACAGTATCTGAAATAAATTTCACTGGATGGGATTCAGCGTGAACTGGCCACAGCAGAGGAAAGACAGCTGGAACCAGACAAGCTGATACAATTATCAAACTCAAGCGCAGAGAGAAAAAAATAGCAAAGTTTGATACCTGTGGGACAATATCAATCTAATTTACTTCTGATTTGAAATCCAAAAGGAGAGGAGAGGAAGAGAATGGGGCAAAAGAAACATTTGATGCAGTAATGCCTAAAGTTTTCTTCAAATTGTTGAAAGACATCAACTTACAGATCCAAAAAGTTCAGTGAAGCTCAATAAATACAAGACTATGTTTGTATACATCAGATTGCAAAAAAAAAAAAAAAATTATAAGCAGTCAGGGAGGGGAAATGCCATTACATTCAAACAATCATTGACCTCACAATATGGACTAATCAAAATGGTAAATGGACAAGACAGGGAATATCCTCATGGAGGCCTAGGATAACCAAAGCAAAGTTTGACCAATCACTTTTTCAACGATTGATTGCCAGTCTAATGGAACTTCCAACTGTTAGACCTTAGAGCTGGCTTGGATTGAACTGAAGGTTTGTCAGGTTTATACTTAACATCTGTTTCCTTTGGAATGTTCCCTTATACATTAAATAGAAATAATACAATAAAAACAAAACAGAACAAGACTTTATAAGACAGGTAAAGAACAGCAAAAGCAGCTGGAAGAATAAACAGGTTAATGGCAAAAATAGTTTCAAAATAAAAAGTCTAATGATTTTACACAAAGATCTAGATCTAATTACAAAATAGTATACCTCCAAACTAAAAAGGCTAATTATTCAACATAACCCATTTCTGCGGTTTTATTCCTACTTTGTTGAGTTTTTTGTTTTTCATATGGGGTTGTTGGGTTTGTCAAATGCTTTTTCTGCATCCATTGAGATGATCATCTGATTTTTTTCCTTTATTAATATGGTGTATTGCATTGCTTGATTTTCATATGTTAAGTGAACTTTTCATTCCTGTGATAATTCCCACACATTCATGGTGTATGGATTCTTTCTATATATTGGTGGATTCATTTTGCTATTTTGTTGAGGTTTTTTGCATCTATATTCATATGGGATGTTGGTCTGTAGTTTTCTTGTCTTTCTCTAGTTTTGGCATCAGGGTAATTCTTTGTAGAATGAATTGGAAAGTCTTCCCTCCTATTTTGGAAATGTTTGGTAGAATTCACCAGTAAAGCCATCTTTGAGCTTTTCTTTGTGGAAAAATTTTAATTATAAATTCAATCTTTTGTTAAACATTTAGTCAGATTTTCTATTTATTCTTGAGTCAGTTTCAGTAGTTTGTGTCTTTACAGAAATTAGTCCATTTCATCTAGGCTATCTACTTTGTTGGCAAACAATTGTTTACAATACTCCCCTATTATCCTCCTTATATCTGTAAGACCAGTAGTAACTTGTCCCTTTCTTCCTTTCCTGATTTTATTAATTTCAGTCTTTTTTATGTGGTCAGTCTAGGTAAATCTTTGTCAATTTTGTTGATCTTTTCAAAGATCAAAGGTTTTGTGAATTTTTCTCTATTGTTTTTCTATTCTCTACTTCATTTATTTCCTCTCCAAGCTTTATTACTTACTTTGCTTGCTTTAGTTTGCTCTTTCTCTATTATGATGGAAGTTTAGATTATTGACTTGAGATCTTTCTTCTTTTTAAAATATGGCCATTTATAGCTATAAATTTCTGCCTACAACTTTTGCTGTATCCAGTAAGTTATAGTATATTGAGTTTTCATTTTCATTCATCTTAATGTATTTTCAAAGTTCTCTTGTGATTTCTTCTTTGACCCACTATTAAAGACTATGTTTTTTAATTTCCACAAGATGTGAAAATCCCAAATTTCCTTTAGTTATGGATTTCTAATTTCATTCCAGTATGTTTGGAGAACATACTATTATTTTAATCCTTTCAAATTTATTGAAGATTGTTTTATGGCCTAACATATGTACTATCCTGGAAAATGCTTCATATGTACCTGAGAAGAATGTGTATTCTGCTGTTGTTGGATGGTATACTCTAGAGATATTTTAGGTCTAATAGGTATATAGTATTGTTCAAGTCTTCTATTTAATTGTTGATCTCTATAGTTGTTGTAGTATATTTTTTTAAATAGCTTGAGAGATATCTTTTTGCTATGTCTAAACCCTGTTATACTCATCAATAAGGAATTATGTAAAGGCACATGCCTATGACTGAATTGTTTAAGGTCATTAAAACAACATTCTAGGAAAATTAAGATACAGGGAAAAGTCAAAATACATCCTTACATGAAGTAGACAGAATACAATATATACTGTTTGAATCCAATTTTGTTTTAAAAAAGACTGTAAAGAAACTTCAAAAAATCATGAATGATTTGCTCTGGGTAAATAAGGCAATAATGTCCTAACCTGTCTTCCTGCTTCTAATCTTGTCCAGGAGTAGTAAGCACACAGTAGCAGGTAAGGCTTTAGAATTAGGTTCTGTAGCACAGAATTCCAGATCTGCCATTAAGTAAGTATGTGACCTTGGCATACAATTTTCCAAGCAGGGGCTAATAATAGTATCTATACCAAATGCCAGATAGGACGATTAAATCAGCTAGTACTAAACTCATAAAATGGTGCCTACCATGTTAAGTGCTTAGTAAATGTTCACTATTACTATCCACCTAGAATCCATTCTCCATACCACAATGTAAAGGTCACTCCCTTGTTAAAGCCCTCCACAGGCTTCCTGTCTCACTTAGAAAACAAAACAAAATGAAACCAGTCTCCATACCCCTACATTAGAAATTCCTGCTTGATCTGACCCATTTACCATTTAGATCTCTTCATTTCTTCCCCTCAAGCACAAAGCTCCAGACACACTGCCTTCTTTCAGACCTTGAAACACTTCTGCTTGTTTTTGACTTAGGTATTTGTATTGTTTATCCTGCCTGGAATAATCTTCACAGAAAGACTTTGTCATTCAGAAGTCAAATTTCATTTCCTTAGAGAGGCTTTCTTGGATTACTATAAATTAGCCACTCAGTCACTCTCTATAGCATAACTTCTATTTTCTACATGACACTATCAATATATTAAACATTTTTTCCTCCCTATTTGTTTTCTGTCTCTTCTTACTGGGACATAATTTTATGAGACCAGTACCTGATACAGACATGTGTTGCATATTCTATATTTAATTATTTTTTTTCCTGTATTCTATATTACTTCCATAATAAAATTAATTTCACAAGAGTTTAGTGTTTTAGGAAACAGAACACGGTATCATGTAATTGGTCTGAGTTCAAATTCAGCTTCTGTGGAGAGCTAGCTGTATGTCTCTGGGCAAGTTTCTTACTCTTCTTGCTTCCTCAAACGGGAATACTATTTATTTCACAAAGTATTGCAAAAAATTACATCACACAACATAGGTAAAAGCACTTCAGCACTAAATGAAATTTTCCTAACTTTACAAATAAACCCTAACCAAATACAAATCAATACCACAATGAGATACCACCTCACAACAGAATGGCTAAAATTAACAAATCAGAAAGTGACAGATGTTGGCAAGGATGTGGAGAAAGGGAAACCCTCCTACACTGCTGGTGGGGTGCAAACTGGTGCAGCCACTCTGGAAAACAGTATGGAGTTTCCTCAAAAAGTTGAAAATAGAGCTACGCTACTATCCAGCAATTGCATTACTGAGTATTTACCACAAAGATACAAATGTAGTGATCCAAAGGGGCATCTGCACCCTGATGTTTAAAGCAGCTATGTCCACAATAGCCAAACTATGGAAAGAACCCAGATGTCCATCAGCAGATGAACGGATAAAGATGTGGTGCATATATATACATATATATATATATATATATGCCATTTGCAACAAGGTAGATGGAACTAGAGGGTATTATGCTAAGCAAAATAAGTCAATCAGGGAAAGACAGTTTTCTCATATACTGACTTTAAGAAACAAAACGGGATCCTAGGGGAAGGGCGGGGGAAAAACAAGATGAAATCAGAGAGGGAGACAAACCATAAGAGACTCTTAATCAGAGGAAACAAACTGAGGGTTGTTGCGGGGGGGGGGAGGGGGCAGGAGAGGGGGTAACTGGGTGACGGACATTAAGGAGGGCATGTGATGTAATGAGCACTGGGTGTTATGTACAACTAATGAATCACTGACTTCTACCTCTGAAACCAATAATACATTATATGTTAACTGAATTTAAATTAAAAATACATTATACATTAAAAAAGAATACAAAAAAAAAAAACCCTAACCGATCCTTGACAGGGTCTCTAGCTCTCTACTCCACCTACCCCTCAAAAGCCTCGGTAGGGTCACTCTAGCCTCTGCCTTCGCCTCTATAGAACGCAGTGACAGCCGGGGAGAGAGTTTGCACGCACTTCCGCCCCCGCGTCTCTCTCCGCCAATCGGCCTCTGATGCCCCACCCCTTCCGTTCTAGGGGAAAAACCAGCTCCCAGAGCGTCTTCCGGCGGGAGCTGTGCTGCTCCTTATCATGGTGAGTTGGCTGGGGTTACGAGGGTTTCTGTCGTAGATGATTCCTCTTATCTTCTTTCATCCCAAAGCGGCCTTCACATGCCTCAGCTGCCCAGAGGAGGGGTCCTCGGAGTCGTGCTCGGCTCCCCCCACTCCGCAGGAGCAGGGGCTGTCGTCCGAAGCATTCCCCCCAGAGCTCTGATCCCCTCACTCTCCCTCACCCCGTTGGTTAGACCTCAGGATCCCGGCCCTGCTCCAGCCCGAGCTTTCAGTTCAGCGAGCTTATGACCTTCCCCTGCCGAGATTTACTTGATATAGAAATAAAAGTCTTTGCCGGCGTCAGCGTCTACAACCAGCGAAAGCTCTGAAAACAAGTTCACAGCAACAGCGACTGTAATTAGCATTGCTTACACCAGTGACAATACCGTTGGCGTTAATAAAGAGGGTTATGAGCAGGTTATTGAGGTGAACGCCCCATGCTGCAACTTGGCTTTATGGAGTGCCAGATAGCCTGATACAGCAGCAACTTTAAGAAGGCCAGTGACTGGAGAAAGTCCAGGTGTTGGTAGAGCATCTTTATTGTACATTTTTTCCTGCGTTTGTAGAGCCCAGTATACCTTACGGTTTGGGGGATGTGATGTTTAACCTAATTTTTTTTTAGAGAAATTAGTCTTTTTATGCTTTTACTATATCAAATGTATAGCTCTCTAATTTTATCAAAAGATAAGTTGATTGTAATTTCAGCGTCAAAAGAGGTACCATTTTATCAGAGAAATTAATGGATCTCTTATTGATAGCCTAATATGAGAAAAGGACTACGTTTCAGTGCCTAAGCCATTGTCACTCTAGTAAGTTTTTTCCTTGAGTGGATTTGGTCAAGAAAAATGTCTTATGTATACTTCCTTTTCTTTTGTAAGTCTTCTGTAATCCCTCTTTTGCACACAGAAATTGGGTAAAAGTTTACTTTTGGGGGGCTGACCAAATAGCCTTCCAGCTGCTTTCTTCAAAATACTCACCACTGTGTAGCCAGAATTAAATTCCTAAAATTGGACCATGCCACTCACTTGCTCCCTTGCTTAATATCTCCCCGCCCCCGATAATCCTCAAGATAAAGTCATGTTTGGCATGGCATAACAAAGCTATCTGTTGTCAAGCTGCTGCTGCAACTGCCTTTTTTTTTTTTTTTTGGTCAAGCTTTATAAACCTTTTTTTTCACATACATACATTCACATTCCAGTCACAGTGAACAGCTTGCAGATGATGCTCTAAGGATTAGGCCTTTGCACCTAATTTGTATATGCTGTTCTGTCTGCCGGAATCAATCATCTCCTACCCCTCATCCTTATCAGTATAACCCTTACGTGCCCTTTAGTCTTTCATGAGCCTTTCTGCCGTGTCTCAAGATCCTGTTAGGTGCCTCCTTTGTGCTCCTGTGATATCTTGGTGCTATTTACCAATAACATCTGTAGCCCTTACCAAACTATGTTAAAATTGTGTATTTCCTTGTCTTTCTCACTTCCGAGACTGTAAGCTCTTTGAGAGCAGGACCTCTGTATTCACTCTGGTATACCCAGAGCCTTGTAACAGTTTCTGGCTCAGAGGAGGTTTTCAATAAATACCTGTTTTATAAAACACCAAATAAATAATTATGGCACTAAATTTTTATGCTTGAAACATTGGTAATACAGAAAAATAGTAGCATTTAAGGTTTATTTTAAAAGTTTTGGGGAAGAAAGGGTTTACGAGTCACTCTTGTTTATTAAGGTGTTATATGCAAAGCACAATGCTATCTTAGAAAACGTAAAGGAAATATAGCCCTTGTCTTTAGTGAAGTTACTAAAAAACTAACCTAAAATGCGAGATGACAAGGTGAAGGCTATCCTCTGGTTAATTACAAAAAACAAACAAAAAACAAAGCAAGTGGCATAAAGAACAGTATAGTTTAGGAAGGTGTCACATAGAAGGTCAGCCATGAAACAGTACTTTCTTCCTTAGTCCATTACTCTTTTTAAGATTCTATTTATTTGACAGAGAGAAAGACAGCGAGAGAGGGAACACAAGCAGGGGGAGTGGGAGAGGGAGAAGCAGACTCCCCACCAAGCAGGGAGCCCGATGTGGGGTTCCCAGGACCCTGGGACCATGACCTGAGTCAAAGGCAGGCACTTAACCTACGGAGCCACCCAGGCACCCCATTACTCCGTTACACTTAATCTACTATTCATTACTGTCATTCGGATGAGGAAACAGAGGTCAAGTAATTTGTTAAGTATTACAGGGCTTTTAGAGCTTGGATTAGACAAGTCTGGCCTTTTCACTCTAGAGTGGTATGATCATTAAACGAGGGTACACCAGTTTAGTTGGAGTTGATTCCCTATCCGGAGCAAGAGATAAAACTGGAAAGAAACAGGCTAAGTATTTGAAAGCATTGAATTTCAGGTTGTAAAATTAGGAGTTTATCACGATAGCAATGGAGGGCCAATATAATTTTGGAAAGAGTGATATGAACATTAGGATTTTTGTGGGTTTTTACTTCTTTTAACCAATATCAGAATGGCATCAGAAATGGCCTTCTACCTTTTAGAAACTATTTTCTCAACCTGAAACTTAAAATAATTTAAAGTGGGATGAAGTTAGAAGATATCCAGGGATAACAGTATTAAGCAGAATTTATCTTTGGGACCAAATATCCCACACATAATTCATTAAGCATGGGATATATTCATTTACTGACCATTCATTAGCATCTCAAATGAAAATAGCATATTGTTCCTTTTCAGCTGAATTAGCAAAGCCTGAGAGTTACACACACACACACGCACACACACACACACTGGTCTTTATTTGGATAGCAAAATTAGTAACACTTTTTTCTAATGCTTTATTTTTATATTTTAAAGTATGTTTTACTTAAAAATTTTTTTATTATGGAAATTTTCAAACACAGGAAAGTAGAATATAATATAATAAGCCCCCATGTAGCCATCACTTGGCCTCAACAATGATCAACATTCTGGTTTTAAATGCCAGATTTCTAGTGTTCAGCTTTATCTTCTGCGTCTCAACCTAATGAAACTAATGACATGTCTGAGCTTTGAAGAAATGGGATATACTTTTTTTATAACGACTGAGATGTTCCTACTAATTAACTAGGAAAATCAGACCTGTGCTGGAGTTGGATCTGAAAGTTTTCCTCATTTGATATCTGTGAACACCCAGTTCCACTGCTTTCTGTGGAATTTCAGTGTTTAAGTCAAATTGGCTGGCGGTAGTGAGGTAGAAATGTTGTGTGGTTGTTCCGGTGATTGTGGCCTTACGATCTAGGGAAGCATTTTGCTAAAATTAAAATCCAAATAAATATATAAGTGCATGGCACTTATCAATCAAATTATTATATATGACCCACAAAATTGTGAAAGATTTTTTCCCCTAGAAACAATACTTTGCTTTTGGAATAACAATTAAAATTCTTTTTTTCCCAATTTATCCTCCCTCTCTAGGATTCTTTGTTTTTGTTTGTTGTTGAGTATTATATTCCCAAGATAGTAAAATTGATCAGTTTTTCCCTTTACAGCTTCTTGGTTTTATATCCTATTATGAAAAGTCTTCTTCAACTCCAAGATTATAAAATTGTACATCCATAAATTTCTTCAAGTACTCTATAGTTTTATATTTTAATTTTAATATAATAGAAAATTAGAGTAAAATATAGTAAGGATCCAATGTTACCTTTTCCAAAAACCATTTATTGGGTAACTCATATTTTCTCCTGCTGATGTTGGATACTGCCTTAATCATAAGCTAATTTCCCATATGTGCTTAAACTCTCTTTTATGCTAAGGTTTCCTATACTTGAGTGGCAAATTCCTCTCTAGTCTCCACTTAGGTTTCTTCTCCTGTTGGTAACCACACTGTCACCCTTTCTCTGCTGGTCCCATACAGTGTACTAGCAAGGACTATAGAGACTAGCCAGAATGTCAGGTACTTTGAGTGCCTAAGAGAGAACCTCAGAAATTTTACTATAATAGTAGTTTCCAAACTTTTCATATATAAAGCTTTTATTAAGTTAATTGTAATATTTTATTTCCAGTAGAGCTATCTGGCAAATGGTTTGCTTTTCTGGTTCAAAATTGCCTAAAATCCATTTAAAAATAGAAGTGTGTAGTTTGGAGCTAAAATGCCTGGGCTTGGGGGCACCTAGGTGGCTCAGTCGGTTGGGCATCTGCCTTTGGCTGGGGTCATGAGCCCAGGGTCCTGGGATCGAGCCCTGCATCCAGCTCCCTGCTCAGCGGGGAGCCTGCTTCTCCCACTTCCTCTGCCGCTCCCCCAGCTTGTGCTCTTTCACTGTCACTCTCTCTCAAATAAATAAATAAATAAAACCTTTAAAAAAATAAAATGCCTGGGTTTGAATTTCTGCTCAGCCATTTGTTAGCATTGTGCCCTTGGACAATTTATTAAAAATTGTCTCCATCTCATAGATGATTGTGAGAATTAAATAGATAAATGCTTGTAAAGTGTCTAGAATAATTGCTTGCCACATATTGAGCATTCAGTAAATGTTAGGGGTTGCTATTATATCACATCACAGGATATGAAAAACATTAGATGCTTCATTCAATGTTGATTTGTTTATTTTTTGTTTATTTTAAAGGGGACAATTCATCTCTTTAGAAAACCGCAAAGATCTTTTTTTGGCAAGTTATTACAGGAATTTAGACTTGTAGCAGCTGACCGAAGGGTAAGTTATCTTTATTAACTCTAATTTTAATCATTGTACAGACATTATGACACTGAAAAAGATAATTTTTAAGGCATATAGAAATTACTCGTGATCCCACCATACACTTTTTGTTTTTAAGTAAACTCTCGCCCAACATGGGGCTTGAATTCACGGTCCCGAGGTTAATAGTCACATGCTCTACCAACTGAGCCAGCCGGGTGCTCCACACCACACTGTGTTCATTTTTTTATGTTGGATAAGCGTTTTTTTTTTTTTTTAAGTAATCTATGCCCAACGTGGGGCTCAAACTCATTAAGCCAACATCAAGTCACATGCTCTACTGAGTGAGCCAGGCACCCACCCCTGGCTAAGCAAAATTTCAATGTAAAATTAAATTACTTTGTAATTTAATGTAAATTGTAATGTAAAAATCAATTACTTTGGTACACAGTTGTTTTGCTTGGGAGGAAGCTAGGCTTTGGTTAAGGTTTTTATTCTAATTCTAACGAGTTTTAAAGAAAAATTATTTTATGATTGCCTTTTTTTACAAATTTAATGGATGCAGTTTAAAGCCATGTTTTCTCATTTTTAGTGTGAGGAAGGAAAAGTAAGTTATGCTTTGAGGTCGTGAATTCAGGCTCCACCCATGTTGGGCGCAGAGCTTATATTTAAATAAAAAGATAATTGGTACCCTTTTTGGTCACCAATATAGGCCTAGTTATTGTTCTGTTTTCATTGTTCTCATTATTGTCTAAATTATACTCTAAGCTCCCTGAAGATAGTGACTATGTCTGTTTTGTTCACTTTTTAATAAAAGTACAAAATAAGCACCCAATAAATATGTGATGAATTTTAAATAAACCTAGCTTCAGTGGAACATAAGTGTACCTATGATATTGGCCATGTATTATGATACTAGACTAGAGGCTTCTGTTCTTTGTTTCTTATCACTGTATCTCCTGTTGCTAAAACCTTGGAATATAGTAAGAACTCAGTATTTGAAAATAGGGTCATGTCCTGGATGTTAAAGAGCCAAGAGTAGGAAATTCATCTGCTACTTGTGTAGCTAGTCCATTTAAGATGATCTCTTGAGAACAGATAGATAGAACTTTATAATGTTGGTAGAAAGCAACTACATTACAGATGTAAACAGGAAATTCTTGAACCATATGCTTTGTTGAAGCACAGTATACCGCAGAATAGGTAGGAACAAAACCGGTATAAGATACTCTCCATCATAATTTAAATCTTAAAAGATGTGCTTAGCTTCACCTCTCTTTACTACTACTCCTGTTTTGGTTCTTGGTAATTTTGTAAATCATGAGGAAGATCCCTACTTCTCAGTTCCTTACTTCCTTACCCCAAATAATCTTGTCCTGCATCCCTTCCAGCTATCCACTCCAATGATCATACCACAGACATTATCATTTATAATAACTATATCTTCCCATTGTCTCAGTTTCAAGCATTTCACTCATAGTCACCATCTCTTGTTATTCCAGTTCATTCCTTGTATTATCCCAGTTCCAATAATTCTTCAATCTTACTAGGATCTCCAATCCATTGACTATGCCATATTTTCACTATTTTTCACCTCTCTTATCCTCATTTGCTTACTTATCCAATTTAGATTCTTTGGTCCATCATTACTGACTTCTTGCATATGTCTTCAACTCCTCTGTGCCCTCCCTTCATCTGTCACTCTTCCTCAGATACTTCCCTGGCAAATCCTTAACATTGTTCAGTATACATTCCTGCTATTCTGTACCTGCACCCAAGCAACTGAATGTAGCCTGAGAGAAACACAAAACCATGGTGACTGGTCTCACTTTAAATTCAAGATCAAGTGTGCCATTAGTGCTGCCCATACTACATCTTTAGTTCATTCAGTTTTCCATTTTTCTAGATGGCTGTTTCATGCCATAGTCTCTCACTTCTGTCCTCAAACTTGCAAAACCTTATTCATCCTCACTCTGACCTGTTGCTCTTGCTTCCTGTTTCACTGAAGGAAAAGAAGTAATCAGAAAACACTTCCACATCCTGTCATCTCCCAACATTCTGCCTTTCCTCCTGTTTCTATGAATGAACTCTCTGTACTTCCACTTGTTGCCTACTCAAAGACAAACTTCCTACAGTTGCTCCTTCCTGCATCATGAGCACATGCCACATCTTCCACTTCCAGCTACTGCCTCATTTCTCCGCTTCCTCATATAGCAAAACTACTTAAACTAATTGTCTTTACTCTCTGTTCACTTTCTTTTCTCCCTGTCTCCATTAAACACATACCAGTCTGGCTGTAGCCCCCACCAATCCACTGGAGCAGCTTTAATAAAGTAACTGGTAAACTCTGTGTTGCCAAAATCAATGGTCATCCTCATTTCCCATCTTACTTAACCTTCAAAAGCATTTGACAATGCTTAAAGCACTTTTTTCATTTGGACTCTGAAATATCACTCTTGGTTTTCCTCCTACTTACCTGGCCATTGTTCATCAGTTTCCTTTCATCTTTCTGATCTCTAAGTTTTAGAGTGTCCCAGCACTTAGAGCTCCAGCCTCTGTTGTTTATCTTCATTACATCTAGGTGACACTTTGACTACCTTATGCTGATGACCCAATATTTGTAACTCAATCCATAACTTCTCCCCTACTTCTAGATTCCTATATATCATGGCCCTCTCAACATTTCCACTTGGATATCTAATAGGCATCTCAAATTTCATATGGTCAGACCTGAACTTTGATTTTCTGTCCCTTCCTCACTAAATGGCCACTCTGTTCTTCCAGTGCACAGGCCAGAAACCTTGTAGTCATTCTTCTCCCGCTCTCTCTCTCATTCCTCATCCATTTTATAAGTAAATCTTGCTGCTCTATCTTCAGTGTAACACTCAGAATTTGACTCTTCTAACACTTTCTTACCAACTTCAAAGTCATCATTTCTCACTTGGATTACTGCAGTCACATTCTAAATGGTCTTCCTACTTCTGTCCTTGCTCCTATGCAGTATATTCTACATAGAGAAGCCAGAATGATCTTTTAATCTTTTTTTTTTTTAAGATTTTATTTATTTATCTGACAGAGAGAGAGAGACAGCGAGAGAGGGAACACGAGCAGGGGGAGTGGGAGAGGGAGAAGCAGGCTTCCCGCGGAGCAGGGAGCCCGATGCGGGACTTGAACCCAGGGTTCTGGGATCATGACCTGAGCCGAAGGGAGATGCTTAACGACTGAGCCACCCAGGCGCCCTGCCAGAATGATCGTTTAAAAATGAAAGCTAAGCTGCTTTCCATCTCATTTGGAATAAATCCCAGTTCTTTTGCTGGCATACAAGAAAGACACTACTTGATGGAGCCCGAGACTTCCTCTCGCCTCTCGTCTGTCTGTCCTTGGCCAAGTCCTTTTCTATCTCAGGGCATTTGCACTGTGGTTCCCATTTTCTTTCCCAGATATCTGCATGCTTAGCACCTTTGCCTGTGTAAGATTTCTGGTCACATGTTACCTTACCAAGGGGGTCTTTTTGACCATCTTGTCTGGCAGAACACCCTTTCCACATTTCCCGTTACCGTACTTTATTTTTCCTTTGTAGCACTTACCACCACCTGACCTTGTATATTTGCTAATTTGTCTGTCACCCCCGCTGGAGTATAAGGTCCGTATTTTGTTCACTGCTGTATCTCTAGTGCCTAGAAAAGTGTCTGTTACAAAATAGGTACTCAAGTATTTGTTGATGAGTAGCTTGATTCATCAGTAGAGCTGCAGAGAATGTCGTTTTCAGATTACATGCCTTATCCTCCTTTTCTGACTGTTCCTGAATCCCTGTTCTGACTAGAGCCCATGTCCAGTCATTTCATTAATGTCCTCCCTGTAAGAGTCCCTTGTCCCATTAACCTATCATATCAGCTCTCAGTCTCTGACATCCCTACCTCACCTGCTTCTCTGGTTTTTGCTCCTGGGGGTAGAGGAAGTGGCAGAATGCTGTCTACCCTAAATTCATGATGGTCTCTGATGATTCAGAAGTATACTCACTAGAACTGCTGTTGTGCAAATTCTCCTCTGGATGTAAGTTTCCATTCCTATTCTACTACATCCCTTTATTTTAGAAAATGGCCTTGTTTCTTCTTTTCTAGAGATGTAGAGGTGGTTAGCACTGTGCTTCACTGTCACTTCTCTCTAGTTCACAGTTTTTCTGTCCCTTCAGTCATCTCTTGCCCTTCTCACCTTTTTCAGAGAAGGTGTACTTCATCCTAAACCTACACTTTGCATCTGTGTCCTAAAGCCATCCTATGCCACACTTGACCTTTGCAATTATATCTGTTTAATTTTAACACCTCCAGATAACTCCCTTTTCACTAATTTCTTTCACTTCTACTTTCACACAATTATAGGTCTCCCTTCTTTGTAGGGAGTGGAGTGGAACAAAAATTAAAAAACATTTCACTTGATCTCTTTTTTCATTCTTAGAAAGCACTTTCTGCTTCTTCTGATGAAATCCTAGCTACTTTCAAGGCATGTCTCAGATCTATGAACTTCTAACCCATGGTAATCTTTCCCTCTCTTGCAGTCCTATTTCATATGACTTATTTGGTAAATAAGTAAGTGTAGCCCTTTTGGCGGGGAGGGGAAGAATAACTTTATTTTGATATAATTTCAAACTTATGGAAAAGTCACAAGATTAGTGTAAGGAACTCCCCTAAGCCCTTTACTCAGATTGACCAGTTGCTTTATATTTTGCCCCATATGCTATCGTTGTCTCTATGTACTTATTTATAGAGACAAAATGATATTAAAAGAGACAAAATGATATTAAAGCCTATTTTTCTCAACTGTTTGAGAGTTTATATGGCAGAATTTTTTTTTCTCTTGAAGAATTCCTCCTCTAGAACTATTTTTTAGATTAGTAAAATAATAACTTGGTTGATGGTAATTTTTGTAGATGTAGGAAATGTGACACTGACTTTTTGAAGGAAGTTGTGCTTATTCTTTTGTAGAGTGGGAATTGCAGCAACTTGAACACACCCAGGGAAGTTTATCAGCACTATCCAAATAAGAATGATTTTCTTTTTCACAGTCCTGGAAGATACTGCTCTTTGGTGCAATAAACTTAACATGTACTGGCTTCCTGCTTATGTGGTGCAGTTCCACTAACAGTATAGGTATGTCACCATTCCTATTTTTGTGGAGTTAATCATTAGTTTCACATTTATTGTTCTGGTTTTAAATAAAGATATATCTTTCTTTATGTGGAATATATTATTCTGAAATATAACTCAAGATTTAAATAAGAGAAGCTATGTGAAAAGTGCCTTGTTGGGGCGCCTGGGCGGCTCAGTAGGTTGAATGTCTGCCTTCGGCTCAGGTCATGATCCCAGGGTCCTGGAATCGAGCCCCACGTTGGGCTCTCTGCTCAGCGGGAAGCCTGCTTCTCCCTCTCCCACTCCCCCTGCTTGTGTTCCCTCTCTCTAGTGGTGTCTCTCTCTGACAAATAAATAAATAAAATCTTTATTAAAAAAAAAGAAAAGTGCCTTGTAAACTGTAAAGTTTGGTTCAGTTGTTAAGCATTATCATTTTAAATGAGCTTTTTTTTAAAAAATAGCTTTAAATCTATTTGAAAGACTGTGATTCCTTTTTATGTGATAGATTAGCCCTTCAGTTTATGCAGTGTCTAAGTAAGATTTTGAGATTTATGTTTCTTGGATTTTCCTTGAAAAGGGAAATCTATAATATTTTTCTTGTTTCTTGACCTCTTTTAAATTTTTAAATTTTTTATGTTATTTATTTTTATTTTTTTGGAAAGAGAGAGAGAGTGCAAGTAGAGGTAGGGGCAGAAGGAGAGGGAGAGAGAGAATCCCAGGTAGGCTCCATACTCAGTGCAGACCCTGACGTGGGGCTCCATCCTGACCCTGAGATCATGACCTGAGTGCAAATCAAGAGCCGGACACCCAACCAAGTCATCCAGGTGCCCCGTTTCTTGACCTCTTACGTTTTTATGTATCATTCTTTTCATCCTGCTATTTAGAGACTATATTTAAAATAGTACTCAGACGACAGAAGAAAGCAAAAAACCCCCAAAAGATCATAGCACTTTTGGGTGTATGCTGCTTCCTTTGTCCTGATGGCGAAATCAGACTCTAGAGTAAGCTTTTGTACTTACCAATTTTTTTTTTTTTTTTAATTACGTAGGCTCCAATGCTGGGCTTGAACTTACAACCCTGAGATCAAGAGTCCTATGCTCTACCAACTGAGCCAGTCAGGCACCTCTGTATTTATCACATTTGGCTACATATATTAATCTAGATAATTGCCAACGTATAAGGTTAATTAGTGACTCAGGGTGTTTTTGGTAATGGATATACCTGGTATGAACAATCTTGACGATTAGCTACATTTCCAAACAGTGGATTCAGCAACATTTTAATCAGTTGTTTTGTTGTTTTGCAGCTTTAACCGCCTATACTTACTTGACCATTTTTGATCTTTTTAGGTAAGTTTTTTGTTTTTTGTTTTCTCTAATTTTATTATGTTATGTTAATCACCATACATCATTAGTTTTTTAGGTAAGTTTGAAAAAGTCTCTTTAGTGTTTTGAAACTAATAAGGAATTTCTTGCACTGAATTTGTTTTCTCTGCTTAAAGGAAAGTAATCTGTGAAATAAGTAAAATTATCAACATAGAACATATATACAAACAATAACTATTAGGAGATATACTGGAAGAAAATATCCCATTTATAGAGGAACAGAAAAAATAATACCCAGGCATTAGATCATATGCCTTGGGTACCTACCTGTAGTTGAGTCAGCTGTGGCCAGGGAGCAGCGTCCCATAAGAACGTACCAGTTCCTTCCGTAACCGTGTAGATGGGCATTAATAACTAAGAAGTGAGCAATTATGAGCTAGGGAGACACCCTTTTGGCTCCCTGCTTCATGGGACCTTTCATATTGCCGTGTAAGGATTGCAAAATACTTGATGTCTTCAAGATCCATGCCATAGGAGTATAAGTATGTCTTTTCATTAGTCATGTAACTAAATCTACTTGACTCATCTAAAATACAGAGTTACCACCTGGATTTCACGCGGTAGTAAGTTGTTTTAGAGTGAATCTTCACTGTACTTGGAAAATGAATGTAATTTTATCCCATCTAGAGTGTTGTTGCTATTAATATTTCGTTTAACTTTTAACAAAGATTATAGTTTATCCGAGTTAAAATTTATTCTCTGTGGCTAAAATAAAATCTATTACTTTATTATTACTGTGTTATTTTTGCATGCTCAGTTATGGAAACTATTTAGGGTGGATAACTTACTTGAGTAGAGAAAGTATGGGTTTAGGTTCTATTTACTGACTTGGTGTATTGTGACTTTTTTCAGTTTCTCCACATGATAAAACTCACATATTAGGATGCTCCTGGTGATTAGATTATAGCTTATTAGAATAGTTTATTAATTTATTCTGCAAGCACTGATAACTTTCAGCAAACTTAGGAATTCTGAAAACATAATTTCTTTTTGTGTGTTCTCCTCCTGCTCTAGTTCTAAAGCTAAATTTATTTTCCTTTTTACTTAGTTTAATGACATGTTTGATAAGTTACTGGGTAATGATGAGGAAACCTAGCCCTGTCTATTCATTTGGGTAAGTTCAAGTCATTTTATTTTCTGCCAACTTACTGCTATTAAAATGGTAGTTGTTATCAGGCAGTAAAGAGATAGCTAGAGTGTTTGTAGAGAATATATGCTGTCTCTGTAGTGGGATGGGGATCAAATATTGAAAGTAGATTTAAAAAGACATCTTCCAACAGGATTCTAGATAAGGAACATGAATATGTGAATTTAAATCATATTAAAATAAAATGTTCACATTAAGTTCTTTGATATTTTGGTAATCCCTTAAATTTTAGAGAAAGTACAAAGAATTTTCCTATAGGTGTGTCCTATAAATGTTAGAGTAAATGTGATATATTTTAACATTAATGTAGTGATAGAGATGTATTTTTATCATAAGACTGGATTTGTGATAGCAATGGACTAACGAAGAATTTGAGATTCTGTTTCTATAGTTTTAGAAATTATTAAAAGTTGAAAGTTGAAAGATAATGTTTTGTATTAGAGGTTTTTCTTAATTTATTAGAAAAAATGAGTTCCTTTCGGATTCCAGGAAACAACTTGAAAGAAGAATTTCTTTTAAGTTTGTGGGGGTTTTTATTATGATAAAGTGTACGTAACATAAAAGTTAACATTTTAACCATTTTCAAGTGTACAATTCAGTGGCATTAAGTACCTTTATATCTATTGCCACTATTTCCAGAAATATTTCCTCTTTCCAAAAAGAAACTCTGTACCCATTAAACAATAACTCCCTATTCCCCTATCTCTCAGCCCTTGGCAAGCGCCATTCTCCTTTCTGTGTTTATGAATTTGCCTGTTCTGGGTGCTCATATAAATGGAATCACACAATATTTGTCGTTTTGAGTATGGCTTATTTCACTTAATGTTTGCAGATTTCATCTATGTTTATAGCATATGTCAGAATTTCATTACTTCCTAAAGTTGAATAATTTTCTATTGCATATATATATGACATTTTGTTTATTCTTCTGTTGATGGGCATTTGGTTTGTATCCACCTTTGGGCTGTTGTGAGTAATGCTTTTATAAACATTGATGTACAGGTATCTGTTTGAATCCTGCTTTCAGCTCTTTTGGGTGTATACTGATCCCTGGATCATATTCTGTGATTCCATGTTTAACTTTTTGAGGAACCACCATACACAGTGGTAGCGCCATTTTCCATTCCCACCAGCATGCTCACCAACACTTGTCATTTTTCTTTTTTTAATTTTTAAAAATCCCAATATAGTTAACGTAGAGTGTTATATTAGTTTGAGGTGTGCAATGTAGTGATTCATAATTCTATACATTACTAAGTGCTCATCACAATAAGTATACTCTTAATCCCCTTCACCTATTTCACCAGCCCCCCTACCCCACCTCCCCTCTGGTAACTACCAGTTTTTTCTCTGTAGTTAAGAGTCTGTTTTTTGGTTTGTCTCTTTTTTTTTCTTTGTTTTGTTTCTTAAATTCCACATATAAGTGAGATCACATGGTACTTGTCTTTCTCTGACTGACTTACTTCATTTAGCATTACGACCTCCAGATCCATCTATGTTGTTGCAAATGGCAAGATTTCATTCTTTTTATGGCTGAGTAATATTACACACACACACACACACACACACATTGTCTTTATCCATTCATCTGTTGATGGGCATTTGGGCTGCTTCCGTATTTTGACTATTATAAATAATGCTGCAGTAGTCATAAGGGGTGCATGTATCTTTTCAAATTAGTGTTTTTGTATTCTTTGAGTAAATACCCAGTAGTGGGATTACTAGATCATATGGTAATTCTGTTTTTAATTTTTTGAGGAACCTCCATACTGTTTTCCAAAGTGGCTGCACCAGTTTGCTTCCCACCAACAGTGAGAGGGTTCCTTTTTCTCCACATCCTCACCAATACTGGTTGTTTCTTGTATTTTTTATTTTAGCCATTCTGAGAGGTGTTAGGTGATATCTTGTTGTGGTTTTGATTTGCATTGCCCTGATGATAAATGATGCTGAGCATCTTTTCATGTGTCTGTTGCCATCTTTATGTCTTCTTTGGAGAAATGTCTGTTCATGTCTTCTGCCCATTTTTAACTGGATTTTTTTTTTTTTTGGTGTTGAGTTGTATAAGTTCTTTGTATATTTTGGATACTAACCCCTTGTCAGGTATATCATTTGCAAATATCTTCTTCCATTGAAAGAAGAATTTAACTTTGGCAAATAAACTTTTGGACCAAACTTAATCTTTTGAACAAAATCAGGTTTTACTTACTTGAACAAGGGGCAAAGTAAACATGAAATCTTAATGCAAAGTGAAAATATTCATAAGTGTCACTGAACTTTGATAGACTATTACTATGATAATCGGTTATAAGGTACATATAAATACTTGTATATAGAAATCTGTGACTCTGAGTTAAAGCTTTTGGTTTTAACTGACAAAAATCCAACTCAAGCTAGTATGGGGGAAAATGGGAACTCTTATAATTAATGTAATCAAAATGTGGGAAGACTGAGGTAACTGGCATAGGGACTAGCAAACTCAGGACATTGTCTTTCTCTTATCTCTCAGGCTTGCTTTTCTTTGCATGTATGGTTTAGTTTCTCAGACCACTTTTCCCCACCATCCTGGAATAACTCCTAGCAAGACCTTAACTGGAACCTTCTTACCTTCATCTTAGAGAAGGAAAGGCTTTTCCCCAACTCTAGTTAAGAAAATCATGAGAAAGAGGGGCTCCTGGGTGGCTCAGTTGGTTTAGCGTCTGCCTTTGGCTTGGGTCATGATCCCGGGGTCCTGAGATCCAGCCCCACATCGGGGCTCCCTGCTGCAGGGAGCCTGCTTCTCCCTCTGCTGCTACCCCTGCTCGTGTGCTCACACTCTCTCCCAAATAAATAAATAAAATCTTAAAAAAAAAATTATGAGAGAGAACTACTGACTGGTCCAGCTTGGAACAGGTATTAGTCTTTAGATCAAATACTGTGGCCAGGAGACGAGGTTAAACAAGGACTTGATAACTTCCATTTTGGCCAACTTAGAGTGAACAAGAAAGGAGGGAGCAATTAAACAATAAAATTAACATCTGAATATAATTTCAATCAGTCACATAACTTGAAATATCTATATTTAGTAATTCCAGTCTCCAGTTCTTTAGCCCTGAGATCTATCTTGTTTCAGTCTGCCTTCTTTACAGCGTCACATGCATATCTAATTGGTGTCTTAAATATTGGCTAGAATTCTTGTTTTCTTCCCCCAAAACCTATTCCTCTGCAGTTTTTCCCATCTCATTCCCCACATTTATCCATCAGCAGGTTACATCAGGGTAACCTACAAACACATCCAGAATCTGCCCCACCCCCATTTCTATCTTGACTACTAACATCCTAATCAAACTACCTTCATTTCTTGCCTTAATCCAGCCTCCTACCTTGTCCCCATGCCTCTGCTCCTACCCCCTTATAGACCATTCTCCGGATAGCAGCCAGAGTGTTTTCCCTTTTAAATCCAAGTCATACTATCAGTCTCCTCCTTGAAACCACTCAGTTGTTTGCTATCATACTTAGAATAAAATTCCGAGTCCTTTCTCTAATTTACAAAATTCTTATATAAGCTGTTCTGTGCCTACTTCTCTTCAAGTTACCATTTTCATTGCCCTCTATACCACACTTTCTTTCTGTAATTTGTATACAATTAATTTATTCCTGCCTTACGTCCTTTGTACAAGTTGTTGTCTCTGATTGAAATGTTCTTCACATCATCTTTACAAGATACAGTGCTCCATCTTGTTATTCCAATCCTAATATCACTAAATGCTGATGTCATTCAGTGACTGGGCCCAATCTAAAATAGATTCTAAAATGAATCCTAGTTAACCTCTTGTCACATCAGACTACTATAATTCTCTGTATAGAACTTACCAGAACTTGGGCGCCTGGGTGGCTCAGATGGTTAAGCATCTGCCTTCGGCTCAGGTCATGATCCCAGGGTCCTGGGATCAAGTCCCACATCGGGCTCCCTGCTCAGCCTGCTTCTCCCTCTGCTTCTCTTTCTCTCTCTCTCTCTGTCTCTCATGAATAAATAAATAAAATCTTTAAAAAAAAAAAAACTTACCAGAACTTATAAATTGTTATTCTGTCTCCCCCTTTAAAATATAAATTCCATGGCAGCAGGGACTATAATCTTGTTCTATCTTATATCCTTGTACAGTTTGGTGAATTTTAATAAATGAATATACCTGTATAACTACTATCTGGATCATGATATAAAACACTACACGTCCCCCCAAAAAGCCTCCCTTTGTTTTGAGTCAGAGTCAAAACCCAACAAAAGTAATCAGTGTTCTGATGACTATTCCTTGCAGATTATTGTTGCCTGTTTTTGAAGGCACATAAATGGGATTACAGTATATACTCTCCTATAGCAGTTCACTCATATTGCATTTTATGAATATACCATACTTTCTTTTTTTTTTTTTAATATTTATTTATTTGACAGAGAGAGACACAGTGAGAGAGAAAGCACAAGCAGAGAGAGTGGGAAAGGGAGAAGCAGGCTTCCTGCCGAGCAGGCAGCCAATGCGGGGCTCAATGTGGGGCTCGATCCCAGGACCCTGGGATCATGACCTGAGCCGAAGGCAGACGCTTAACGACTGAGCCACCCAGGCGCCCCACCATAATTTCTTTTTATGTTCAACTATTAAAGGGCATTTAGATGATTTTCAGCTTTTAGCTATTATAAATAAAACTACTTACAAATATTCTTGTACATGTCTTTTGGTGTACATGTGTATCCCTTTATGTTGGATACATATCTTTGAGTGAAGTTACTTAGTCATAGGATTTGCATATGTTCATTGTTAGAAGATAAGATAATACCAGTTTTCTAGAGTGGTTTTACCAGTTTACGCTCCCACTGTCAACGTATGAAAGTTCTGGTTGTTTCATGCTTGTACCAACAGTTGATATTGCCTTTTTTTTTTAAGCCCTTCTGGGGTATGTAGTTGTGTCTTGTGGTTTTAAATTATTTTCCTGATGACGAGTTGAACACTTTTTCATACTTTTTATTTACTTTTTCATGTTTCTTAATTGTTCAGATTATCTCTTTTGTGAAATACTTGTTAAAGTGTTTTACCCATTTTTAAATTGGGTTACCTTTTTTCTTTTGTTAGTGGTCTGTAAGAGTTCTTTATATATAAATATCTTTTCCCACAAATGAAAGTTTTTAATTTCAATGATAAATTCAGTTTATCAGTCTTTTATGGTTAGTCCTTTTTGTGTACTTGTCAGGAAATCTTGGCCACTCCTAGGTCATAAAGATATCCTGGTATTAGCTAGAGGTCTTGTTTGATTTTTCACATTTAAGACCTACATTCAAACTGGAATTCATTTTTGTGTATGGGTTGAGGTAGAGATCAAAGCACATTTGTTTCTATCTAGTTGTTCAATTGATAAAACATATATTGGAAAAAAATTAATCCTTTTTCTACTGCTTTTTATGTCTCTACCTTTTTCGTAAATTAGGTGATTATGAACGTGTAATTCTATTCTGGATTTTCTTTTCTATTCAGTCTGGTACATTTGTCTATTTTTGCATTAGTACTATGCTAACTATGATAGTTTTGAAATAAATCTTGACATCTGGCGGTGTAAATCTTCCAGCTTTGTTCTTCTTCAGATTATCTTTGCTTTCCTTCACTTTTTGCATTTCCATATGCACTTTACTATCAGTTTGTCAATTTTCACAAATAACTTTGCTTCATTTACATACTGTTTTATACTCTTTTATAACTCACTCTTTTCACTTACATCTTTCCATGTCAATGAATACATTTCTGTTATATATTTTTTAAAGATTTATTTATTCATTTGAAAGAGAGAGAAAGAGCATGCATGCAAGTTGGGGAAGGGGTAGAGGGAGAGAATTTACAGCTGACTCTGCACTGAGCACAGAGCCCAATGCAGAGCTCAGTCTCACAACCCATGAGATCGTGACCTGAGCCAAAACCAAGAGTTGGAGGCTTACTGACTGCACCACCCAGGCACCCCAGTTTCTGTTATATTTTTAATAATATGTTCTGTTGTTGATTCCAACCTTTTTTTCCCTTTACAAACAGCAATGTGATGAGCATCCTTAATTATTTTATTATCTTTTCTGAAGATATGTAATTCCTTGAGAAATTTCAAGCATTTATACATACCACAAATATTGAATACCATTAAATTATGTGTTGTGGGAAAAACTAAGATGAATAAGGCTAGAGCCCTGGCCTTCAGCTGACAGTTTAGGATTATAAGACATACACATTATTAACTACAATTATGTGTAGCAGTGAGAGACAGTATAATAAGTGGTTAAAATCATGAACTCTGGAGCTAGAGTGCCTAAGTTTGGAAACCTGACTCCTCCACTTGCTGGCTATATGACTCTAAACAGTTACTTTTCCTTTTTGTGTGTCAAGTTCCTTATCTATTCTTTTTTTAAAAAGTGGATAAAGTAACCTTCCTAAGGTGTTGGGAAGTTTAGAATAGATAATATAGGGGCGCCTTTGTGGCTAAGTCGGTTAAGCATCTGATTTAGGCTCAGGTCATGATCTCAGGGTCCTGGGATCAAGCCCCACCTCAGGCTCCACGCTCTCTCCTACTACCCCTCCCTCCGCTCATGCTCTCTCTCTCTCTCTCAAATAAATAAAATCTTTAAAAAAGATAATACGTTAAGCACCTAGACCAATGTCTAACACAAGATGGGTCAATCAAGTGTTAGCTGTTATTATGCTAACAATTATTTCTAGAAAAATAAGAGCCATAAGTGGGTCCTGGAATAGATGTTGTACAGATAGGCACTCTTTTTCTTTTCTTTTTTTTTTAAACTTTTTATTTATTTATTCATGAGAGGCAGAGAGAGAGAGAGAGAGGCAGAGGGAGAAGCAGGCTCCCAAGGAGCAGGGAGCCTGATGCGGGACTCGATCCCGGGACCCTGGGATCATGACCTGAGCCGAAGGCAGACGCTTAACCATCTGAGCCACCCAGGTGCCCAGGCACTCTTTTTCTTAATCTGTGATGTTCTTTATTTTCATTCTAGAAAATCTGTAGTCTGTCTGAACAGTGTTTGGCTTATGGTAGGCACATATGAAAATTGAGTGAGTAAATGGGGCGCCTGGGTGGCTCAGTCATTAAGCGTCTGCCTTCGGCTCAGGTCATGATCTCAGGGTCCTGGGATCAAGCCCCGCATCAGGGTCCCTGCTCTGTGGGAGGCTTGCTTCTCCCTCTCCCAGTCCCCCTGCTTGTGTTACCTCTCTTGCTGTGTCTCTGTCAAATAAATAAAATCTTTAAAAAAAAAAAAAAGAAAGAAAATTGAGTGAGTAAATAAATGAATGAAAATGTGTTCTGGAGATACTGGTTTATGAATTGTGCTGATCTAATTTTCTGATTTCAGATTTGAAAGATTAGAAGTCTTAGCTGTATTTGCCTCCACAGTCTTGGCACAGTTGGGAGCTCTCTTTATATTAAAAGAAAGGTACATTTGTCTACAATGTTCATGTCATTGTAAATTCTATGTCTTCCACCTTCGGGGACATGAAAGAATCCATTGAGACACTGGATTGGTTTGAAGATGAAATCCAGATGAATGGTGCTGGAGTTTTGATTGTATGGCTTCCTCATATTTCAGACTTTTCTCCCTTCTTTTATTACTTTATTTTGATGCTACTAAATCCTGGGCAGGTATGAAAGAAAGGGCTTCCGTCAGACATGTTTTAATGCTGAGTTACAAACCCATTGAAACAGGTTTTGTAGAGAAGATTGGTATTACATATTAAGAATAATTTGTAAGTCTCCTTGCCTGATCACTGCTAATAATCAACAGTTGGATATCATATTAAAAGATTTTGTTCAGGACGCCTGGCTCACTCAGAAGAGCGTGCAACTCTTGATCTTGGGGTCTTGAGTTTGAGCCCCATTTTGGATACAGAAATTACTTAATTAATTTAAAAAAAGATTTTGTTCACTTATTGAATTAATTCTGTATTTAATAAGGCTTTTTAATTTCATAATTTATAGAACTAATTTAGTACATTATTTCTTTCTTTTAGTGCAGAACGCTTTTTGGAGCAGCCTGAGATACACACGTGAGATTTTGCTTTTGACATAACATAATTTACTATTATATTTGATTCCCAGTTATTAAGTGGTATATTAGGAATAATGGTTACTTTGCCCAATGTCAGAGTTCAGAGTGTAGCAATATACATTTCACTGATATTTCACAAACAAAATTCCCAAATCCCAAGACAACTTCTCACCCTTAACTATTCCCAAGCCCGTATGTTTTTATATTACACAATATTTATATCTGTACTCTGGCTTTAGGTCCCTCATTATTTCCAGGCCTTGGTCAACACACTAAACTAGTCCCATTGATCACCTATAAGTTAAAATTTGATGCCCAAAATCTTTTAGCACTTTTAGAAAAGATAGAATTGTTATTATCTACTATGTATAGTTGCCAAATATATGGACTTTACCTATTTTGATCAGTTTAATTCAGGATATTCTGACCTGTCTAGTATACTATAAACCAAACACTATTACATTTGTATGGATTTATAACAGCAGATACCTGTAAGCAGATACTATTAATGCTAAGAGTCAGTTTTGGTCCTATGTAAGATGGAGCAGTAGACAGGCAATGGATTATGGAGCCCGAAAACAAGTTCAGAGTGTGGCTCTGCAAATCCCAAACCACTGAAGCAGACCACTCTGCCTTCCCATCTCTTTGTCTGCATGCTGAAACTGCATATTGGTATTACCAAGAAAAATATAATGGTGAATGTTATTATTCTTTCTAGGGGAAGATTATTAGTTGGTACTTTTGTGGCTCTTTCCTTCAACTTGTTCACGATGCTTTCTATTCGGAATAAACCTTTTGCTTATGTCTCTGAAGGTATGATTTTTATTTACCATTAATAAAAAATCCAGTTAATCTCTCATAAAAACAAGTCTTGTGTTTATTTCATTAACTCATAAATCAACGAGAAAGCTTATTCTGAAGAGAAGAGAGAACTATCCTAGATGTTCTCAGGTCTTCTCTAAGTAGAGAATTATAAAACAAAATCTAATCATTTTAAGCTTTAAAATAACATATTACTTAAAAACAGAACTGACTTACATTTTAAATTATATATGATGAAAAATTACATTTGCCAAATAACATGAATGGAATTTTAGATGTATAACCTACCTACAAAAAGTCTATTGCAAGCATTTTAGAAGCATCAGTATACTTCAAATAGTTCATGTGCTCTTTGCAAATAATTATATTCTGTTAGATAAGTTCCCAGGAACTTCTCTCTGTCAGTGGTGGATGGGCATATATTTGTAAAGTAGCATATATGTTTTGAAGTACTCATTTATTTTCAAGTCTTTAAAAATTCAGACTGATATTTCACTTCAGTGGTCAAAATTATTGTCATTTGTCAGTCATTTCCATGTTCTGGAATCCCACTAACTCACAAAGTGTTAATCACTAATTTTTGGAGAAGTGAGATAAAAACAAAAGTGGACTGTGTGCACAGACCCACACTTCGAAGCAAAGATAGGAGAGGGTCTTTTTAGGTCTCACTGACTTGAACACTAGGACAGTCAAGAGAAGAAAGCTCTCTGAATTGCCCATTCAAATTTAAACAACTTCATGAATATTATGAAGCATGAGTTGTATTTGTATGAATTAGAGTTTAAGAATTCCTGCATGAACTGGAAAATTAAATGGTGGTATTTGCAATGTCCAGAATTATTTTGAAAAAAATTATAAATTGTTAAAATAGTATAATGTTCACTCTAGAAATTTTAAGAAGGTATGTTTTAGAAATGATCAGGAAGATACAAGTTTCCTTTTACAAATGATCGGAAAGATACAAGTTTCCTTTTCCCTTCCTTCTACAATCTGCTTTTTTATATCAAGTATTTTTTTATGCATCTGAGTCTTTTTTAGGATAAATTCCCAGAGAAGAATTGTAAATGGGTTGGAAATATAATATTTTTTAAGTCATTGATGTATATTGTGCCAGACTTATTTCCAGAAAGGTTATCTAGTTTGTATTTTCATTAGCTGGATATTAAAGTTCCCAGAAGCATTAATATTTGTGACATTAGTTGAAATTTGAGTGGAAAATAATTCTGAGCACTTTCTGTCTGCCAGGCACTGTGCTAAATTCTTTATGTAGATTAACCCATTTAATTCTCCCTAAACCATATGAGGTAAATAATTTTATTATTCCTATTTTATGCCGAAGCACTGAAATATAAAATCACTTGCCCCAGGCGACACATCTAGCTAAGGTAGAGCTGGGTTTTAAACCAGGTATTCTGGCATCAGAGTCTGCTCTTAACTGCTCTACTATATGGCTTTTGTATAAAGCTTGCCAGTCTTTTTTACATCATGTTACACATTAAAAAGTGAATATTTCTGTAACCTTGAGATCGGTGTAAGAGGATGCTTGAGCCTGGAGACTGCTGGTTCAGAGACAGTAACTGGTAGAGTCTGCATGTAGCCAGATCCCCACTTGTCCTTCCTGAGAGCTGAGGGGATTAATTGGTTTGCCCATAACCCATTCTCAGCACACTGGTTAGGAAGTTCTGCTTTACATTTAAAGAGCCTTTAAAACTTAAAATTAATAGTAACAGTGGCATATGTAAGCTCACTAATTCCTTCAGGTCAGCAATATAAATAGTTGAAACTGCTTTTCTTTTATTATCTTGAAGGCATAAAAGAGGGAAAATGTCTAGATTTGAATAGCATGTCATTTTGTAAAATGTGATACAGTCATTGCCAAACTTATTTTTTTAGTTAAGGAAATCAAGTATTTCTGGTAGTGCTTTATTTTTCTATATAAGTAATTTAAGTGTTTCCTTCTTAAAGCTGCTAGTACGAGTTGGCTTCAAGAGCATGTTGCAGATCTTAGTCGAAGGTAAGATCTTATGTATGGGGTTTTATGATACACATAATTTCGGAGGGATGCACAAGAAATCCATCTGTCATGGGAACTTACAGTATTCATTGCTGAAGTTACTACATGAATCTTACAGATCAGACTCTTCCTCTCCTTTTACTTTTTCTTACTTTTAACTGATGATATAAGAGATCTTTATGAGTGAGAGAGCTTTGTTTCCAAATCCTCTTTGCTTTCTATAGAAGACATATGATGCTAAAATAACAAGTTATCGGGGTACCTGGGTGGCTCACTTGGTTAAGCGACTGCCTTTGGCTCGGGTCATGTTCACAGGGTCCTGGGATCGAGCCCCACATCTGGCTCCTTGCTCAGCTGGGAGCCTGCTTCTCCCTCTCTACCTGCTACTCCGCCTGCTTGTGCTCTCTCTCTCTGTCAAATAAATAAATAAAAATTCTTTTAAAAATTAAAAAAAATAAAAGTTATCTTTTACAAGATTTTCATCAATATTACATTGAGTTCTGCTAATGAATACTCTTTGTTTCTTCATAGCTTGTGTGGAATTATTCCAGGACTTAGCAGTATCTTCCTTCCCCGAATGAATCCATTTGTTTTGATTGATCTTGCTGGAGCATTTGCTCTTTGTATTACATATATGCTAATTGAAATTAAGTAAGTATTTTTTATTGCTGTCAAGTGGTTTCCATTTTGGGGGGCCTGACTTTTAAAGGCATCTGTGGGATGGATAAGGATTAAGCTTAGAGCATGTTTGCTTATGGCCTGTGTAACTTTGGTCAAGTCTTATCCTTAAGTGTCTTCATCTGAAAAATTAAGGGGGTTGGATTCAATACGTATTTTTTGTCATAGTCTATAATTCAGACTGGAAAACTGTTTAAATTCCCTACTGCTGACCTGGGGAGTGAAACAGAGATGTCAGTAAAAGAGAGAGAAGCCATGGCTACTGTTGCTGAGAGAAGGAAGAGGAAGTAGGTGTGAAACAATTTTTTAAAAGGCAAACCTTTTGGGAAATATACTTTATAGCTGCTTTAAGCTTAGCGTTTTATGACATACGATTCTTTCACTATCTACCCTTTAAACATTAGTGTTTACTAAGATCTGTCCTTAATTATTCTTTTTCCTCTTTTGCATACTCTCCTGGAAGGTTACATTCAATTACTTGTTTTTATTTACCACCTCTGGGTTTCCCACACCTTTATTTCTAGTCCAGATGTCTGTTGAATTCCAAAAGGCATATCTTACTGACTTCTGTTCACTACAACAGCTGAACCTATTTTCCCCATCCCCAAAGCTGTTTGTTCTTATATTTCCCATCTCAGGGAATACTACTACCATCTATTCTGTTGCACTGTTTTTTGGAATTGTGTTAAAACATACATAACATAAAACTAAAATTTTAACCAATTTTGAGCACATGTTCAGTGACATTAAGTAACTTCACATCATTGTGTAACTATCACCATCGTCCACCTCCAGAACTTTTTTTATCTTCCCTGCCTGAAACTCAGTACCCATTAAATAGCATCTCCCCCTCTGCCTTGCCCCAGCCCCTGGCAACCACTCTTATACTTTCTGTCTCTATGAATTTGATGAAGAACTTCCTATAAATGAAATCAGACAATATTTGTCCTTTTGTGCCTGGTTTATTTCACTAAGCATAATATTTTCAAGATTCATCCATGTTGTAATACGTGTCAGAATTTTCTTTTTAAGGTTGAATAATATTCCATTGTACATATACAACACATTTTGCCGACTTACCCATTGATGGGTATTTGGATTGTTTCCATCTTTTGGCCATTGTGAATAGTGCTGCTGTGAACATGGGTGTACAAGTATCTGGGTGAGTCCCTGCTTTCAGTTCTTGTGGGCATATACCCAGAAGTAGAATTGCTGGATTATAGGATAATTCAGTGTTTAATTTTTTTTAGGAGCTCCAGTGCATTCTTAAATAACCTACTTTTCCCTCCTCCCCTCTTGCCCCTCCCAAAGCCAGTTCTAATTGGTCACCTAGTATTGTGTTTGTTTTTTAAGTTTTTATAGTCACCATGCTGTACACTGCATCCTCAGAACTCATAACTGCAAGTTTATATCTTTTGACCAACTTCACCCATTTCTTCTCCCTCCTCACCCCCTGCATCTGACAGCCACCAAACTGTTCTGTTTCTTATGAGTTTTGATTTTTAGATGGCACATATGAGGGAGCTCATAAGAGTATTCATCTTTCTCTATCATGTTATTGTAAATGGCATGCTTTCCTTCCTGTTTTGGCTGAATAATATTCCAGTGTGTATATGTCTGTGGGTGTGTGTATCTCACACTTTTTATCACTTCATCTGTCAGTGGATACTTTGGTTGTTTCCATGTCTTGACTATTGTAAATAACAGTCTTGTCAGCTAGTCTGATTGCATCTTTCTTTTTAATTTGTCTCCTCCTTCCCATTCCCCTTGCTGCTGCCGATATTGAGGCCTTATCATTTCCTTGGTCTAATTAGAATAGTCTCCTGGTCTTCAATCATTCTCACACATCTCTAGTTACCTTCCATTTTGCTACTAGCGTCATCATTCAAAATTGCAAGTCTGACCATAATATTTTCCTGTTTCAAAATCTTCCTCTTTGCCTATTTAACAAAATAAAAGTTGTTAGCATGATAAAGCCCCTGCCACCCTTACTGGCCATCCAGCCTTGTGTCCTTACCTGCTCTTGGTTTCAGTGCTGTATCAGGACTTTCATGCCCTTGGCATGCTGCTTTCCCTGACTGTGATATCTTCCTCCCATTGGCTCACTCATCTTGGAAGAGTCAGCTCAGATGTCACCTTTTTATATTGAGCCCTTCTGGATTATCCCTTCCTCAGGAGGCTTGTCGCTCACTCCTCTATGCATCCATGATACCCTGTAGGAATTCTCCTTTGTTCCCAAATTGCTTTATTTTCTTTACGTGGGTATCTCCTGCTATTTCAAAGGTAAGGACCATGTCTTACCTCATGTTTCTGTTCTCAGCATGTGGGGGAAAAGTATAAAAAAAGAGGCATAAACAGCTCGTAAACATGGGCGTTTTGGTCTGTCTTCTTAATAGAACAGCCTGAACTGCTGATGAGTGTTGCACTTTAGTGGCCAATGTTCCTCTAATGAATTCCTGTGGAATCTCACATTGTATAATTCCTAGGGAATTTCAAAAATTCTTAGCAGTAATAATTGGAAAGGTGTTTACAGGAAAATTTCCAGAATCACTGATGAAGTACGTTGGTCTTCTCTGTATCGGAGATTACTAGTTAAAGGTTTTTATTTGTTGCAACAAGTGAGTATATGTGAAATCTTTCTACCTGGCAAGTAGATTGAGAATACATAGTGGGAAAATATTCACATTTTTTTCTTCACCATCTTAACATAATTATTTAACATACTGCTTAAAAAAATTATCATTTTCCACTAAACTTTGGCAAGAAAGGATTCTGAAAATGTTTTGTTGTTGCTTTTTGTTTGTTTGGTTGTTTTTTTTTCTTTTTTTTTTTTTGGAGACATTCCTGTTACCAATAGTGGCCAGTATTGATAGAACAGTCCTGTTGCTTTAGATAACTAATTTTTTGGAAGATTGAATTGCAAGTAGCCCAGTGAGGCATACATTTAAGATTTAGAATTGTTTTTTCCTTTTAGTAATTTTTTTGCTGTGGACACTGCTTCTGCCATAGCCATTGCTCTGATGACGTTTGGCACTATGTATCCCATGAGCGTGTACAGTGGCAAAGTATTACTGCAGGTAAGGGTCTTCTTCCAATGCACATGCTTCATATTAGCCATGGTTTTCTACCAGATTATAAAATTATATGTACTCTTCTACCAGATTGTGAAATTTTTAGCTACTGGAAGTTCCCATCAGAAATGAAGTCAAACAGTAATCTCTGAAGTCTGTATATAGTAAGAAGCAGATGAAATTCTGTTGGCCCATAAAATAGGCACAGATCTTCCCATATTTATAATATAAGACAAAATCATAAGCTAAAAATATCTTGCTTTTAATGTTTCAAGTGAAAACAGTGTTAATTAGAAATTTTTTTTGCATATTGATTTTCCCCCAATAAATGTGCTTTGTCTATTTTGTAATCTGGTTGTGAATTGTTTTCTTATTTCCTGTCCTTGAATTAGTGAGACTTTTAAATTTCAAACTTAAAATTAAAAATGACAAATTACTATGTATTTCAACAGTAGGATAACACCTGTAGACAAGCACCTGAATACAAAGGTAGCTTCCCAGGGATGAATGTGTTTGTAAACACTGCTTTTCCTTCTGTCTTACCCTCATGCCTTTTCTAAAACTTAGGGGTACTAGCTCCAGCTCCAGAAGCAGTAATACCAGTGTGATAATAATTGTATAGTGCTATGCCATATACAGAAGATCTTTAGTTGGTTGTTTGATTCTTCAAGGGTTCTTTGGGTCTAGAGATAATGCTGTTTTGTGAGATGAAAAGTAAGTACGGGCTGATTCTTGATATTGCCCCACTAGTGGAGCCAACTGAAACCTCTCTTCCCTAAATCATGATAGGGCACATGTTTTGCAAAGCCAAGTCTGGTATAAGCCAATCTGTTAGTGTTAGGACCACTACGCAAAAAAAAAAAAATTTTTATCTCCCTGGGTTATTCATATTTTATTTTATTTTTTCTCCAGACAACACCACCCCATGTTATTGGTCAGTTGGACAAACTTATCAGAGAGGTAAGGTGGAATAGTAAATAAAATAATTTTAATTTATAATTAGAGGTTGGAAAGAGTGGGTACAAGTAATATTTTATTCAGCCCTACCTAGATTTTATTTTAGGAGAGTTTGTGGTGTTTATAATACAGTAGGAGATACAACACAGTGACAGAAGTACAAAAATTTGAGGAATTGCTCAGTCTGGAAACTTGAAGTAAATGTGGAAGGCAAGGTCATGGTCTAGAGACCATACTACTAGCTATGGAAATGCTATGGTTTTTATGAATCTGTATTCAAACCAAGGATTTTGATTAAGTCAAAGGCCACTTACATATTGATTGATTGCTTCACCATGTAACATATTGATCTGTGAGTTTAGATTTTGTATTTTATAAATATTCACCTCTTTACCAATGAAGGAATAGATAATCAAATTATTTGGATTTTGAGAGTATTTCAAACTCTTGGTTGTTGGTATCACAAAGGACACTTTTACCAATATAGCTGGCCGCTTTCTCAGCTAGTAAGCCTGTGTCATTGTACCAGTGGGCCATACACGATATATCTGGTCTTGGAATTTCCTTTTGGCCCACATTCAAATAACAGCCTGTGTTGTGCAGAAACTTGGTAAAAGGGAATACAGAGAAAGGAATGATAGAGGAGACCCCCCAAAAGGGAGAAAAATCTTAATACCACAAGTGCTGGATATAAATATATGACATATTGACAAAATGAGAAGAACCATACACTGCTGAACAAGGTGGTGCTGGGGGTAGGTGGTAAAGACCTGATTCTGAAGGGACTGGGCCAGACAAGAAACAGAATACAAGGTCTTGGCTCACTACCAAACAAGTAGAAATGATGTCTTGAGTGGTCTGGGACTTCTCTTGGCTAATGAATGTTCTAATGCAGGGTTTGGCCATGTCATTTCTATACTTAGATCAAGTCCCTAATGTGACTGTGTTGGATATGTCAAATACAAACCCTATTTCTTTGTTTTTGATTAGGTATCTACCCTGGATGGAGTTTTAGAAGTTCGAAATGAGCATTTTTGGACCCTAGGTTTTGGCTCATTGGTATGTTTTCCATATTAATTTAGATAATTTACAACATAGTTTATAATTTTTAAAACTAAAAAAAGCATTTCTTTAAATTTTTTAGAGTCTTTGATTACCATTTCTGTTCAGTAGAGTCTAAAATTTAGATGGATTCAGTAACTTAATTGAGATTAATTGAAGGATATTTTCCTTTTTTTTTTTGCTTTCAAACTGCTGTTAATGATCTTAATACTGGGTTGTCCAGATAAGACAAATATATAGTCACACATTTCTGAATATGAAAATATCCAAAAAGTATGGGGCGCCTGGGTGGCTCAGTCATTAAGTGTCTGCCTTTGGCTCAGGTCATGATCCCAGGGTCCTGGGATTGAGCCCTGCATCGGGCTCCCTGCTCCGTGGGAAGCCTGCTTCTCCCTCTCCCACCTCCCCTGCTTGTGTTCCCTCTCTCTCTGTATCTCTCTCTCTCAATAAATAAATAAAATCTTTAAAAAAAAAAAAAAAAGAACGAAAGAAAATATCCAAAAAGTAAATAGTACAATTTTTTTTTTAATTGCAGTTCTGCTTTTGGAGATTTCGCTGAGTATGTTAAAGAGTTACAATAACACAACTTACTTCAGCATAAAATTCCATATTTTTTATATTAACTTTAAAAATAAAACCAGTCATTTTACTAGCAAAAATGGGTTTATTTGGGAAAAGCAGAGAATTGCAATTTGGGACAAGCAAGCTACAGCAAAACCATAGGCAAGTCTGGAGAACAAAATAGGGGAATGCTCTTTTATAAAGGAAAGGAGGAAGTGGAAAGGACTGTTATAACTGAAAAATCCAGTGGAAGAAACTGGGAGTTCAAGTGTAGTGGCTCTCATTGCTGAGCTGTGACAGTCTCTCATTGGCTAGGCTGTTGTGGGAGAAGAAGGAAAGTCTCCTTTCTCCTGCTGATGTAATAAAGTAGTAGCTCAAGTAGTATGGACTCGACCTCTCTTCCTATTGAGTGTGCAGTTGACTAGGGGCAGTAGGGCCTCAAAGGCCCTCCCTTTTGGCCTCCCGACTCAACATTTTAGTGATGTTTCCTTTTATTAATTTTCACAAATCCACTTTGGACCTATTAGCAGAGAGACTGTTATGGCATGGTTTCATTCCTGTGTCAGGAATGATGAGGAAAACACAGAAAAGTACTCAGAAAAAACTTTTTTTAATCACCATAATCCTTTCATGTAGAGAAACCTGCCATGACATTTTCTTATTTATACTCATATATTTACTCTCCTTAGAAAATGAGATCATGCTGTTTATAATTTGCTCTTTTCACATAATATATCATGAACAGTTTTTCTATGTCACTAAATATTACTGTTCTGGTCAGTTGTTTTTTTTTTTTTTTTTTCTCTTAAATGTGACTTGAGTTTTGCCTAAATGCCCAAAGGTTTTTTTGGGTTTTTTTTAAGTCTGTAATTTCACTAGACTATGTCTTGGTGTTGGTCTTTCTGGGTTAGTTACTCCAGGTATGCAATATATCCTTTCAATAATTTTATTTCAAAAAAAATTTTTTTAACTTTCAGGGAAGTTTTCTTTAATTATTAATATTTATTTTGTTCTCTTTCTTTTATTGTCTTCTCTGGGAACTCCTATTATAAGCATGTTGGATCTTTGCCTTTCTTTCATATTTGTTACTTTCTTTCAGTTTCTTATTCTCTTCATTTCCTTTGATTTTTAAAACTTTCCTTCTCCTTCACCTTTTATTTCTCTTATAGGAGACCTGTATGTTTATTTGCTTTTGTATTCCTTCTAGTTTGGTCTTCATTTCTGAAGTGATTGTTTTTTCTTGTATTTCTCACTGTCATCTCATTTCTGAGGTTTTCTTTATTTTTTTTTTAAGTAGGCGCCATGCTCAGAGTGGAGCCCAGTGTGAGGCTTGAACTCATGACCCTGAGATCAAGACCTGAACTGAAATCAAGAGTTGTATGCTTAACTGACTGAGCCACCCAGGCACCCTCATTTCTGAGGTCTTCTAATGCTGATTTATGTTGTTCTCATTTCATGTCTTTCAGCTTGTTTTGAAAAAGTAGGTTATAGTTCTTACTCGTTTTGTAGGTAAATCTTTCTGGCGATCTTTTATAATCTGTTCTCTTTTTTTCTTACAATAACTCTGTGTGCGATTTGGATTCAGTTCTTTTCTCTTGGCTCCTTTTTATGCAAAATTGTATTCCTGAACTTTATTTTTTTATTTAAATTCAATTAGCCAATATATGCTACATCATTAGTTTCAGATGTAGTGTTCAGTGATTCCTCAGTTGCATATAACACCCCGTGCTCATCACCACACATGCCCTCCTCAATGTCCATCACCCAGTTACCCCATCCCCCCACCCACCTCCCCTTTCTGCAACCCTCAGTTTGTTTCCCAGAGTCAAGAGTCTCCCATGGTTTGTCTCCCTCTCTGATTTCTTCCTGTTCAGTTTTCCCTCCCTTCCCCTGTGATCCTCTGAGCTATTTCTTATGTTCCACGTATGAGTGAAACCATATGATGATTGTCTTTCTCCGACTGACTTATTTCACTTAGCATAGTACCCTCCAGTTCCATCCACGTCGATGTAAATGGTAGGTATTCATCCTTTCTGATGGCTGAACTTTAAAATAAGGAGTGGAAGGGAGCCTGGGTGGCTCAGTTGGTTAAGCGACTGCCTTCGGCTCAGGTCATGATCCTGGAGTCCCGGGATTGAGTCCCACATCAGGCTCCCTGCTCAGCGAGGGGCCTGCTTCTCCCTCTAACCCTCCCCCCCTCATGTACTCTCTCTCTCTCTCATTCTCACTCTCTCAAAATAAATAATCTTTAAAAAAATAAAATAAAATAAAAAGGAGTGGTTTAAGGTAGTGTGTTTGAATTTATGGTTCTAAAGCTCCCTCTTCTGATGAGTCTGTGAAGTGAAAATATTTTCTTTCTCCTGGTTCTTTTCCTCCCATTTGTATTTGCACTTCTTTATCTTTTGTTTCTACTGTGTTGCTTAGTTTGGATTCTTTATCTTTTGTTTCTGCTGTGTTGCTCAATTTGGGTTCATAGACTCAGACACAATTGTTCTTAACATGGTGATTTATAATGGAAGGGAGCTTTGCTTGGTTACTTTGGGGGGCTCACAGGGCTTAGGCTGCTCCAGCTCTTCTTATTGCAGACTCAGTGTACTCATCCACTATTGAAACGTGTAGAACCCCTCCCAGTTTCCCAGCTGCCTTTCTCAAATTTGCTGTCCTAGATTTCCATTAAGTACAGGTTAGCTGCTTTGAGGTTTTTAGGTCAGTTGGATATCCTGTCACTTCCTCCTCCACAGATGCTGATACCTTGCAGGTCTTACACCTTGTGATTAGGGTTCCTTAGGGAACGATGTTATCTAGTTTTTTTATAGATGTTGTCCATAGGTTTTTGGACTTAATATCTTAGTTTCTCTGTTTTTCTGGAGATATTTGGGGCATTTCAAAGAAGTGCCACTACCACTGCTCTCTTTCAGGAATCCCGACATAATTTTTAATGGCTGCAATTTTACATTATATGAATATGCCATCATTTATTTAATCAGTCCCCAATGGACAAAGTGGTATTCCATTTTTCCCGTATAAAAATTGCTGGGATGGGGCGCCTGGGTGGCTCAGTCATTAAGCGTCTGCCTTCGGCTCAGGTCATGATCCCAGGGTCCTGGGATCGAGCCCCGCGTTGGGCTCCCTGCTCAGCGGGAAGCCTGCTTTTCCCTCTCCCACTCCCCCTGCTTGTGTTCCCTCTCTTGCTGTGTCTCTCTCTGTCAAATAAATAAATAAAATCTTTAAAAAAAAATTTAAATTAAAAAAAAGCTGGGATGAACATTTTTGTGGAATAATCTTTGCACAAACTTGTGATTATTCCTTAAGATTAATTTTTAGAAGTTGTTTTTGTGAGTCAAAGATTATTCATATTGGGGTGCCTGGCTGGCTCAGTCGGTATGTCATGAGACTCTTGATCTCGGAGTTGTGGGTGCGAGCCCCAGTTTGGGTGTAGAGATTACTTAAAAAGAAAATCTTTTTTAAAATGGGGAAATTCACATTTTTTATAGCTTTTGATATAGCCAGTCACTTTCCAAAAATGGCTATACCAGTTTCCATTCCTTCAGGAATGTAGTTCATTTTTTTAAAGATTTATTTGTTTATTTGAGAGAGAGGTAGTAGCCCCGACACGGGGCTTACTCTCTCAATTCTGAGATCACAACCTGATCCAAAACCAAGAATCAGACGCTCAACTAACTGCACCACCCGCGCACCCCCGAATGTAGTTCATTTTCAATTTTTCTTTTAATTTTACTAATCTTAATAAAATAGTAGATAAGTGTTTCTTTAGTTGGGTGTCTTATAAACACAAAGAATGCAGTCACCCAGCTGTTCAGAACGTGGCCATCTAACCCTGCACCCATGTAGTGCCTAATTAAGACCAAGGACAAAATAAAACAAGCTTTTGAGCTGCCAAGAATAGTTGTCACAAAAGCCATAAATTAATGCGAACACCAAAGTCACAGCGGACTTTGTTCAAGCTCCTGCACAGAAATGGTTTTTACTTATTTTAATTGCTTTAATTTCCATAGCTGACTGAAAGAGGTTACAGTGTCTTTTATAGTTTTGTCTAGTGATGATTGTGAGATGGTAGTGGCCAAGAAAAGGGAGAAATCAAAGATGACTTCATTTCTAGACATGGCTTCTTACATAAAAATAATAGACTAGAAGTCAACTTCAGGCATTATATTTTCTCCATCTTATGATTGACAGTAACTCACTACTGCTAAAGTCATAGATTCAGACCACATTGAAACTAAACCAACTACTTAGCAAATTTATGTGCAGTTGATTCTTTGTTATAATTTTTTCTCGTTTGAAAATCTGAGTTTATCTAGAAATCAACATTACATATCTGCTGGATTTTTTTTTTTTTTTAAGAGAAAGTGGGGAGGGGAGGGACAGAGGGAGAAGGAGAGAATCCTAAGCAGTTTCCACGCTCAGCACAGAGCCTGATTCGAGGTTCGATTTCATGGCCCTGAGATCATGACCTGAGCCAAAACCAAGAGTTGGACACTTAACTGACTGAGCCACCCAGTTGCCTGTCTGCTGGGCATTTTATTTAACTTTATTTACTATATGTTTTTACTTAAGTTTTATTATTATGCAAATAGTACCTGATTCTTAGAAAAATTAAAACTTACAACTAAGTCAAAGAGAAGAGAATGAAAACCTTTAATAATTCTACCCTCTAGAGATAAGTGCTATTACTCTTGGCTATTTTTCTGTCTCTGTGTGTTTTAAACAAAATAGGATCATTGTTGTACCTACCGTTTTATTATCTACTTTGAAAACATAATGAGGGCACCTGAGTGGCTCAGTTGGTTAAGCATCTGCCTTCGGCTCAGGTCGTGATCCCAGGGTCCTGTGATCAAGCCCCACATCAGGTTCCCTGCTCAGCGGGAAGTCTGCTTCTCCCTCTACCCTTCCCTCCTGCCCATGCTTTCTCTCTCTCTCTCAAATAAATAAATAAAATCTTAAAAATATATGTAAAAATAAAAACATAATGTATGATAAATGTCTTTTCACTAAAGAGACTTCTAGCCATCATTGTAATGCCTGGGGTTCTCTATCCTCATAGTAACCCAGGCTAGAAACCTTGAGATCATCTTGGATGAGTCGGTCCATCTCCCTCATCCACTACATCCAGTTGGGTATCAAGTCCCTGCACATCTAACCCATGGGATATTATCAATCCATCTGTCCCTCTCTGATCCCACTATATTTGTCCTGTCTCAGCCATCTTCATTTCTAACCTAGACTTGCAATCATTTCCTACCTAATTACCAAGTCATTCATACCTATAATTTTTCTGAACTTTGATTATTTTACTTCTGCTTGGTTCTTGCTATTCAAACTCATGATGATTTTTAGAGTCCTCTGCTAGCCTTTCGTTTAACCTTACTGCCTGCTTATCTTTCTTTCCTCTTTCCTTCTTTCTTGTTTTTCTCTTTCATTCTTTTTCTGCCCCCTGAAATATTTGTACTTTTTTATTCTAGTAATATTGCTTATTCTTATCCATATATGCCATGCATTTTAATTGCTCTTCCCTCAGCTTAGAATGCCTGTCTCCACCTTTTGAAATTACATTTAACCATCAATCCTAGATCAAATGCCATCTTCTTTTGAAGTCTTCCTCAATTTGAATTAGTAGCTACCTTTTCTATCCTTCCACTGCATTTTCTATATACTTTTTATTCTGCCTTAGGTTATAACATGCCTGTCTTCCTCCTATATGTATTTCTCTTTTTTATATATTTTTAAAAGTTACATTTTATTTAAAGAGTCATAAAGAACTTCATTAGCTCTTCACATTGATAATCACTACTGAATAATCTTTAAGGAATATCGAGACATTATACTTTCTCTTGTTTTAAAGAAAATATCAAGGGGTGCCTGGGTGGCTCAGTCGGTTAGGTGTCTGCCTTTAGCTTGGGTCATGATCCCAGGTCCCTGGATCGAGCCCTGCATTGGGCTCCCTCCTTGGCAGGGAGTCTGCTTCTCCCTCTGCTCCTCACCCCGCTCGTGCTCACTTGCTCGCTCGCTCTCTCAAATAAATAAATAAAATCTTTTTTAAAAAATTAAAAATAAAGAAAAATACCAAGTACAGTTACAGCCAAATCATAAATGTTTATTTCTAATGGAATTTTCAGTGGTATAATTTTAAGGATCTCTTTCCTATGATTTTGCCCATTTTAGGCTGGATCAGTTCATGTAAGAATTCGACGAGATGCAAACGAACAAATGGTTCTTGCTCATGTGACCAACAGGCTGTACACTCTAGTGTCTACCTTGACTGTTCAGATTTTTAAGGATGATTGGATTAGACCTGCCTTACTGTCTGGGCCTGTTGCAGCCAATGTCCTAAACTTTTCAGATCATCACATAATTCCAATGCCTCCTTTAAAGGGTACTGATGATTCAAACCCTGTCACATCGACTCCAGCTAAACCTAGTAGTCCACCTCCAGAATTTTCATTTAACACCCCTGGGAAAAATGTGAACCCAGTTATTCTGCTAAACACCCAAACAAGACCTTATGGTTTGGGTCTTAGTCATGGACACACACCTTATAGTAGCATGCTTAATCAAGGACTTGGAGTTCCAGGAATTGGAGCAACCCAAGGACTCAGGACTGGTTTAACAAATATGCCAAGTAGATATGGAACTCACAATAGAATTGGACAACCAAGACCATGATGTACTGTAAATTAATTTATTTTTATGAGGAATACTGACTTATTGACTTCCAATTTATTTAGTAATCCAACTGTGCATTGACTGTTCAATCATTTACTCTAAATGTTAGAGAATAGTGGGTTTGTTCACATTACATGAAACTGATGAAGCTATATTTTTGTAAAATGTGTTTGGGGCTGTTGAGAACCTTCTAAATGTCATAAGGTTTAAATAGGCTTCCTATAGAAAGCGTGTTTCTCTAAATTTGAATTTTGCTATTTTTGGTTTTATAGTTGACTGCAGTGTGATAGACATCATCTTTACAATAAGAGAACCACTCGATGGAGCAGATCTGTCACATTATTAAAAGTATAGTATTTTCTTCAGTGAAATGTATAAACATATGCTTCTTGAATAATGGTATACATTTTAGGAAAGGAAAAAAAATGTCCATTTCAAAAGTAAAAATCTCTTTTATAGCTTTTCCAAACTTAATTGCTACATTTTTCTTTGAGGTCCTCTTGATTTATGTCTTGCAAAAGGAAAGAATTTTTTATCAGAAATTTTAGAACATATTCTATCTAGCATAATTTGAAATTTTTAATTATTCATTTTTTATAGTTTTTCTCATTAAAAGATTTCAGTACATTTATAAAGAGTCCGTGGTCCTCAAAGTGTTTTACTTAAATGAATACCAAATCCTTTGGTAACATGAAATGAAGGAATCCCAGTTTTCTGTCTTACATTTAATCAAATACTGACATAACAAAACAAACAAAAAACACCAAGAACGCAAATACTGACATAATGATGGAATTTATCTTTTTCGTCACCTTTTCATTAGTTGACTTTTTAATCTCTCATTTTATTAACAAAACATATCAAATATATTACAAAATATAAAATATATGGAATTCCATGCGCAATATGGGATTTGATATCTTTTCAAAGTTGCATAAACAATTTGAGTTTATATTATATAATTTTACCAAAACATAATAGACCCTAGATTATAAAATACAGTATTGTTAGATGTGTAACCGGCAATTTCTAACTTATTTTGTTTTGCTTTGTCGAAATTATATAATCTTACCAAAACATAATAGACCCTAGATTATAAAATACAGTATTGTTAGATGTGTAACAGGCAATTTCTAACTTATTTGTTTTGCTTTGTCGAAATCATAAATTGTTAACTGTGATGAAGTGTGAGAATCATGGATTATTTTATTTTTTTATTATTTTCCAAATGCAAATGTTAAGGACTTGCCAACATAGCCAGTATTACATATAAAAAGTATCACAAGCAGCAAATGACAAAAATTACCTGAGGTGTTTTTTGTTTTTTGTTTTTATCAAGAGTTTTATAATTAGAATTTTAAAAAGGTATTTTGAAAATGGATTCAACTTTTCTGGAATCTAGTACTCCTGGAGATTTAGGAGTTTTCCAGCCATCAGCCAGCTATGTAGAAAAGATTTTTGTTTTTGAAGAATTTGCAAGTTTCTTCAGTCAACTCATCCTTTTTAAAATATGAGCAACACTTCCAAATCAGATGTCACAGTGGAATCACAAACATCCAAGAAGCCATCTCTGTCAAGCAGAACTATCGTCATCCTGTAATAAGTGACCATGTCCCAGCTTTTGCATGGTGAGGAGTTGGTCATTGTCTTTAACATCTGCAACCCTGTTCAGGCGTTTGACCTGCTGAAGAAATAGAGCGCACACTACCTTGACTGCTGGGGAAAATGAAACTTCATAAAATGTACTAAGGCAACCAATTCCTTGTCCTTTGTCTTACGTCCTCCAACTATTAGTATACCTATTATTGGTCTACTATTACAGGGTGATTTTTCCTCCGTTGACCTCATCCAAGTGGGTCAACTGCCCATGAAATCTGAAGAACTGACATGTACTGAGTGATGATTAAGAGGTCTGCGCTGCCACCCTTTGCATGTCTTTTCCATTCTCATGAGATTTTTAAAGTGTGCAGGTACTGAACACAATTCTGCATGATGTTAAATACCTATTTCCTCAACACCTCTTCAGAGGCAACACTTGTGTAGTTGTCCCAACAAAGGTGCTTTGATACCCACCTACACTATCTAAGAAATTTCCTGTGGGTTCTGAAGGAATTGGCTCTGCTTGCTGAAATTCACCGATGCTAACTGCTGCATGTGACATTGGTCCATGCATTATCATATAACGATGTCTTATTTGCCGAGCTCTGGCCAGCATCTGGATATAAAAACAAGAAACTTGGCCAACATAGGCCTAGAGGCAGTATTCTTACTAGTAAATCTTGCTAGTGTCACGTCAAGCTAAACAAAGAAAGAAGTTTGAATTGACTACTTGGCCCATGGCTTGTGGTTAAGAGCAAGTTCCATGGAATGTAATTAACCCTGTCTGAGAAAATACCATACTGTAACATACTGTAACAGAAAAAACGCTGGGCTAGAAGTCGAGAGATTTGGATTCTGAGTCTGATGTTGCCACTATGTAAGTAGTTTGGTTACCATGGGCAAGTCATTTAACTTCTCTAAGCTTTATCATCTGTAAAGTTAGGGTGGGGAATGAATTAGTTGATCTGTAAACTATCAGCTCTAAAATTTTATGACTAAATCTACAGATTATGCCCACTTGCTAAACAATATTGTGCCCAGAATGTCCTTCCAGTGACTACCTCAGCATACAGGCCAAGTGTTACCTATACCAACACCCAAGCCATTAATTTGAGGTGCCATGAGAATAGAAGGTGAACTGCAGGCTAACACCATTTAGGTTCTTGTTTATTTCAGACTTGCCTTGACTTAAATCTGTTAAGATCAAACAGATTTTTTTTAGACTTCTTTCTTTGTGGGGAAGGATTATTTTGGGGGGTGCTGGAGAAAAGTTTAGGACAGGGTACCCTTAGATTCGTAGGGTACAAAAGAATGGGCTACATTTTTCTTTTTTCCTTAATCTCTGAAGATACAGTTAGAATTACATACATGTATCAGCAAATGGAGAGGTCCTGAATTTCAAGCCTCTGATTTAGCTGCTCGTAAACTGCCAATTTTTTGCTTCTCTAAAGTATGCTGATCTTTTTGGGAGTCTATCTGCTTCTTATATAAGGAAATGCTTTTTACATTCCAAATTGTTTGAACCACACTGTTTGAATAAAGAACATACATGGAGTTTTCTCTCTGATCTTAAATAATTTTGGCTTGTTTCCTTATTCAATAGCTATTTATTGGTCATTTCATTTAATTCAGCACATACTTGTTGAGCATCCAGTACATGCCAGGCACTGTACTAAGTAAATGTGCACACAGTATATCAATTTTTGTGACCTGTTCTTGAGACCAAAGGGAACAGAAGGATAAACAAAAGATCCCTTCAGGTACCAGGTAGTCATCCTTAGGACAAGACACAGAACTACTGCACATGTTATCAGATGAAACTCCCTCTCACTTCCTCCTCTTCTTTGGTCTCATTTTTTTTTTGAATGATGAAACTAAGGAAGTAAATTTCCATGGAAGAGACCAGCTAGAGGTCATGGTGTCACACATCATCCAGATATCAGGAAAGGAAGAGAAAGTTTGGAAAGGGCAAGTTAGGCAGACACTGTTGAGAAAGAATCATTTTTAGGTTATATAATGGATTGCCACATACTTTCAGACTCTTGCACTGGATGAGCAAAGATTATTAAGTTGCCACGGTGAAAGTAATGGGGTCCCCAGAGCATTCATGGGCTCAGGGTGGCCTTTATTTAAGTTACTAGTTTAAAATCACCTTTAATAACACTAATATCATCATCATCAACTGCCACCCAACAAGCCTAGCTTCTTGCACAAAAGTTAACTTTGATAACACGTGGCTAATTTTCCTGACAAATGCTGCATCAGGCAAAAATCTCGTAGCACTGAAGTAAAAAAAACCTAATTGCTTAAGATTCTGAAATACATTCATGAAGGCAAGCCAACAGTCACTGCTCATACAATTTCCCACCAAATCCAACTGCTGAAAGTTTTTTAGAGGGTTCTTTTAAAAAAATGCACCTGGGTGAAAAAATAGAATTAAGTATATTAGTTGGAAGTAAAACAGTTTTTTTAAGAGACATGGCTATGTTTGGACCAGTGCTTTGCTTCAGAAAGAAATTAGAATTCTCTATAGGTAGGGCAATGATTGTGAATCTGCTCCCTTATTTTTACAAGTTATATTTTTCCTAAAGGGTAAGGCAATCTGACAGATAGTAATTAGTAGCAGTAAGTAGTAGCAGTATAGCAAACCCAATACAAATGAATAATGAATTTTTTCACTTTTCCTGATTCTTCCAGGAAATGGAAGATTGCTTTAAAATTGAGGTGTAAGAGATGCTATTAAATATTTGTCATGGTTTTTCAAAACTAGAGTCAGACTTCATCAAGCTTAGGTCATTTCCTCTTTTTTTTTTTTTTTAAAATTTTATTTATTTGTTTGACAGAGAGAGACACAGCGAGACAGGGAACACAAGCAGGGGGAGTGGGAGAGGGAGAAGCAGACTCCCCGCTGAGCAGGGAGCCCAATGCGGGGCTCAATCCCAGGACCCTGGGATCATGACCTGAGCCGAAGGCAGACGCCCAATGACTGAGCCACCCAGGCGCCCCGGTCATTTCCTCTTCTTAAGAAGCAAACACTAACTATTGTTTCTTAGGTATGGAATGTTCCTAACTGTAAACATGAGTAAGTGAGACTCTTTCAGTATCTCAAGAATTGGGTTTGGGGGGTTGTCTTTTTTTAATGCTCCCTAATGGAACTTCTCCATTCCTTACAGAATAGGGCACTCCTGCAAAGGGAAGGTGGATATCCTAGCCATGAAGTCCAAGACAATAGCCTAAGGAATGGAGGGGTCCAAAAAGTAGGTTTCTGGGTGTGAAAGCTTGCACAGAACAACACCCACCTGCTTGGATTGCTCATTTGTGGACTGTTACAGAAGAGGGTAATAAAGTTCTGTTTTCTGTATGGTATGGGCAGGGGGTCTCTTGTTATACCAGCTTAAGCCTGTGCCCAGCCTAACTCATACCTAGGGCCTCACTTTCTCCTCTCTTCCTCCTTCCCATAAGGAGCCCATCTTTATTCCTTGTAAGCAGCTTTCTCCCTGCTCTCTCGGACCTCATGTTCACATCCTTTCAGCCTCTGCCTCTTTTCCATGTGCTTCCTAGCATTGCATGCACTCAGCCACTTCTGTCTCTATGTAAGACTCCTTCCTGGGGCTCCTGGGTGGCTCAGTCAGTTGGGCGTCTGCCTTCGGCTTGGGTCATGATCTCAGGGTCCTGGGATCAAGTCCCGCAACGGGCTCCCTGCTCAGTGGGGAGCCTGCTTCTCCCTCTCCTCCCTGCTTGTGCTCTCTCTCTCACTATCTCTGTCTTTCTCC